GCGTGAAGTCGAGATTATTTTAAGATAATTTTGCAGAGAAAGAAAAAGCATCTACTTATGGCACAGAACAGATCACTGTGTGATATGTACGGGTGAAATCGAATCGAAAGTGCCTTGTGATTGGACCTTTCAGATAATTAGTGAAGAAAGAATAATAAGCCAGTCACGGTGAAGAAAACAGACTTGATCTATCTGAAATGACCGGCCACTCAGGTGAAGCGGAAATTTTTTTACCGACTCCGTCTTTCTGCTGGGCTGTTATATCCCTCCCAGCCTGTTATATCCCTCCCAGCCTGTTATATCCCTCCCAGCCTGTTATATCCCTCCCAGCTTGCGTTGACCCTGACTGTCAGGATCGAAGCCCGCCTCCTAAATTATCAACATTGTGTCGACGGGGGTGTAAAAAAAAGCGACCACCCTACTTTAAAAACTAAACTGTCTGAAGGAAATGTTTGATGGGTTGAATCGAAAGTAGTTTGTGAATGGGCGCGGCGAGGAAAAAGAGGACGTAGACAGACCTTGCTGGCGTCGTGTGACCGGTTTATGACACTTTAACACACAGCCTTCAGACCTGACGTCCACGTCAGTTTTCTAGTACGCGCCCCAAACTGAGAGATAGAAATCTCGCACACTCACATTTATGGAGGCTGGCGAGTCTGCTTTTGGAACGACTTTGTAATAAGAGGTGCATGAACCCGCTGAACGTAAAGGGATTTTTATGAATGCCTGAAGGCTGTTCTCGCCCAAAACGTGAATCACCGTACTGTTTTGTTCGATGCTAAGCGGGTGAACTAGACATGGCAACAACTATAATAGACATTTAGGGCCGTTTTAGGGGAGAATTGAACGCGAAGAGAAAAATTAAAAGAGTCAAGCAATATAAAAAAATGTGCATGTCTACTCTGTTTTTTTTTTATATGTATGTTTGATTTGTTCTCCTGAGAACCTATTTGAAGGAGGGGAAGAAGACAAGGACAAAAAAAAGGGTAGGGTGGGAAAAGAGGGCGCCCTCAATTCAGAAAACCGGATAAGTTAAGGTAAAAAAAATCATGCCACACTAAGGGAGGAGAAGGAGGTGGATAAGGAGAGAGAGAGAGAGAGAGAGAGAGAGAGAGAGAGAGAGAGAC